TAGTTTTTGGCTAGCGATGGCATCAGTGCTAGCCGGCAGACTGTATGAAGACCCTTAGAGAGTGCTTTTATTTATGGAAAGCGTCTGACCAAAGAGCCGTTCATTAGTTCAAAAGTAGTAGAGCTAAAGCGGCACCCTGTCACCTCAACTGGACGTCGACTTCATGTAGTAGAGTTCATTTCACTGATCGGAGCGAGTTCAATTACTTGAGAACCGATGGTATAGCACGACGTTTACCTGAGGAAAGAAACAATGCAATGCAACATACCCAGAAGTGTGATGGTATACGGTTCCTTTTCCTGGAATGGGCCTTGAAAATTGACGGCACGTTGGCAGGGGATTAGTTCGAGAGGGCTTTCCTGCCAAATATCGATGTTTTTATGCCTTTCATGTTGCTATTTTGGAACAAAACGGTTTTTGTTAGGTCTATGCTGTTTGTATTCCCCACTGAGTTGAGTTAAACCTCATTACGTACTGTGAACAATAGCAAATTGCAGTCTACTAGCAGTAAGTATTCACGATATGCCGTTGATTAACATATTAGGTTGGAAGGAAAGTCCTGCAACACAATGAAGGTCTTTTTAAAATCATTTCTAGAATTTTCCAGGCCAATCAATTTTCGGAAATATATTTACCAAAGAGGTTGACAACCCTCTATTATCCTTTGAGTAAATCACTGATGCCTTTTATCCAGAAGTGAGGAAGCTGTGACTCAAAGAAGTGATTGACTGCCAACTTCAGATCACATTAAGTTACGAATTTTTTTTCCACAACGGGATGCTCAAGAAGGCGAAGCGCATGGTAGGTGAAAGGGGCAACACTTGGGGAGTACGATTGATGAACACCCTGGAACCAGTTGGAATCGTAGAACATTTGACACGTGTTTGAAGCGAAATTTCGACTTGCGCTGCCCCTCTAAAGGGACCTGATTTACGGTTTTGTTCGTCATTCTCTAACCCTGTTGGCCAAATTTCGGGGTTCATAGGGGTAAGCGATAGCTGTGTCCATCTAGTTTGCGTTTAGCAACTCATAGTGGATGGATCCCTCCAACCTCCATTGAATCAAGGATTGATGCTTGCGAGACTTCGAAGGCTAGTACTTCCTCCAGTAAAGCGATCGAACCGATTGTTGACCGTTGATCGGTGAGCAGTGCCAGCACTGAATAAGTTGCTGATAATTTGAGCTGCTACACCCCCGTTTTTCCCTTGGCGTGCTTAGAAGAAGGTGATAGTACGAATCGGGTGTTGTCCAATTATTGACCGCAATGCTGCCAAAGCCCACACGCGTGCCATTATTTACTCATGCGTTGATTACCTGAGGAATGCCCTACAAGTTTATCACCCTTGCTACCGTGTTAACACTGTTGGTACAAATTGCTGACGCTTCAAATTTTTTGTTGCAGGACTTTCCTTCCAACCTAATATATTGCAAGGATAGGTAAATTAGGCCAGAAACCAGTGAAATTTCATGTGAGTTTGTGAAATACGAAAAAAGTTACAATTGGAAAAGCGTTCCACCGAAGCTGCTACATACAGAAGCGTTTGGCCGCTCCTGTATATAGCTTCGTCGCATGTGGTTGCCACGCAAAACCAGGCATCTTGTCAGGAACTTTCATAATTGATGGGTAGAAATTGAAGTTTTGGCACAATGGACCTTTCTCTTTTTGTGCGACAGTGTTAATGACAGAAATATACTGCATAATAGTGCAATCCATCATGTACCCTAAATTCATTGCAAGGATAGGTAATTAAGCCCAGAGTATCAGTGCTGCCATGTACCAAGCCACATCAACTACCCATTCTTCTTTACTAGTGAGTGCACTGTGATTGTTGAATCTGATCCAGAAATAGCTGAAATGTTCCCTACAACTTTAAATCCGGTCCTGATCCGTGTAAAGCAGAAAAGCTCCAAGTTCAGGACCCGTGAGATATAACGAGACTAAGGATGAGAAATCTCGGTGCCTCCCCCATATTTGTCTGTTCACGAATTTTCGCAACAATCATCAATCATCAAAATCTCCCCCCAAGATCTATAGGGAAGTCATTCAACGTATAGAAAAAAGCACTCCGTATAGGAAAAACTCACTTCTACTCAAAACGGTACATAGCAGCGGTTCGATCGCGTAAGGTCTTTACATCCAATGACATGCAGTGTCAAGCCTATGAACAAGTCGTGTTTTCATCCTATCAGATCAATCTGGCATCAGTTAATCATGAATGAAAACCTGATGGGTAAGCATCGAACCGAGATCCGATCTTGGACCATATGGTGCAAAGTTGTTCCACCTGCCGTGCACCATCGCTTCAGCCCAACATTGGATACATAGGCGGAATAAAGATTAAGGATAATCCTTGTGGCGTTATTTACTGTCTGACCGATACACCCCCACATTCGACTTTCATTCAGAATCGTAATGGTGTATTGAATACATATGTGCTTTTTGCAATGAATTGCGGTGGACGGTCGATGTACAGTTCAAAGCTTCACGAATCATAACTACGTAGAACACCCTAGTTCGTCCATGCATCTTCTCAGTCCCTGGCAGGCAAACCATAATCTACAGTGACGCCCGTTCACAGTGCATGTAATGAGCCTAAGGCTTTCGCTGGTGCCCACTTTTTGGTGCACAAATGAACTAATTTGGAATGTTTGCATTTACATTCGAATTAGAACTCTCCAGTTCTAATTCAAACGTAAATGTATTTGAATGACTTTTAGCATATGAGAATACGGTAGTTACGTTTGACGATCATTACTGGACTGACAGCATACTGCTCTAAAACACGAACCTTGAAGCTTCGTCAGAGACGAGATATTCTCAGATTAGAAGGCTGAGCCATGCTTAGCAACACGACAGGATAGTAAATATTGCAAGGCTACTTGTTTTTCTTCTAGCCTTGAAATTCATTGCCAGTTGCCAGGAAAAGTAGACAGTGTTCTCTAGAGGTGCGCCATGCATCCGACAACCACGCACAAGCTTTGCATGCTATCGTAAACTCGATGTTGAAAGCCAAACCATAGATATCTTTGCTAGCTAAAGCTCAGAGTAAAGCGTTCGGATTTTCCCGTAAAGGCGATTCTGTTATCAGTCTTTCAACCTTAGAGAGCTGTAGGACTTGTTTTTCAGTTCTGCGCTTGACTTCTCTTGAAAATCTTTGTTGGGAGCAAGCAAGGAGGTCAACTATTATAAACAATCTGTTTAATATTGATAATTAAAGCGCTTTGGTTAGAGTTCTACTTGTTTCTGGGTAGCACACTTTTATGCCCACAGTGAGTCAAACAATCAACTTGCTCGAGATGTTGAATAGTTCATTCTGTCTGGGAAACCGTCCGCTAGGTTTTCTTGATTCGTCTTCATTCCTGGTGCTTGGCAAAACTTCTGATCTCGTAACGGGAGATCTCTGTTACTGGCAACTTCCTTGAAAGCGAGTGATGTGCATCAAGAATTAGCCCGTAAATGGAGGACACTTAGTCATTTCCGCTACACAGCAAGGTAGCAGCAATCGGTATCTTTCCTTATTGCGTCACTAATTTCTTTAACTTGATTTACATATTATCGACGAACTGCCATTTTCTTGAAGTAACTAATCGGCCTTCGGCTGCTTCACCACATCAACAACATCAGATTTCATTGACAGCTATGACTACAGCACCAGCAGCCATCTACGGTAACAGATGCAGTGTCGGTGAGTGTATAAATTGAAATTTTCTGGAATATCCCTCAGTGTAGAAGGCTACATTTCAGAGTTGGATTCTCTACACAGGGAGATAGCTCGTCTCTCTCCAGAACAACGTTCTATGATACGATACTCATACCAGTTCATGGAAGCGGAAGCCACAAAAAATGGTCTCGGGCTATTTGTGAGGTAGGAAGAGATAGATAAAAAAATGAATAGTGCATTCAGCAGCACCTAGTATTCATGTACACGAAAAAGCTGTATCCGAGGTAGTTCCCATAAACGTGTGGCGTTCCTCTGCACGATTAAATGCTGTAGGGTATAATATTCAAAAAGTCCTCCTGCAACTTAAGTTGAAAAAGCCCTTCATGCTCGGGGTTTCATCACTTCTTCTTCTTTTCCAGCGCTTATCTCGGTCGGAAGTGGAACCCAATTTTCTGTTGTGCTGGCGCCACTTCCTGCGATAGGATGCTCGGTCGAAGGGAGGTCAACTAATTTCAAGTCCCTAGGCACAGTTTCAAGAAAGCGCTTCGTCAAACATGCCTGGGTCGCTTTCCGGGATCGTCGACGCTGATGCCTATTTCACAACACTGCCTTGATTTGCTTCCATCATTTTTTAGCAATTTGGGTAATTCGAAACGTTCCTTTACTGCTGCGAACCCTATTCAAACTATAGGATCCAAGTGCTCGTTTCCATTGCCAGTTCTGCTTGCTTGAGTTGTGCTACGAGTTCTCTGGTCAAGTTCAGGGTGAAAATGTAGTTGAGGAGCAAGGTCAGGGTGAAAATGTAGTTGAGGAGAGGGAGGGGGCACCCCTCACAATGTTATATATCAAGATATGACTCAAATGAGCTCAATGATACGTGTTATTCAGTGATGAAGCAGGGATATGCAGTCCTTGACGATGCTTCAGGAGGTAAGGAGCACTGAAGTTGGCAGGTTCCTACTTTTTGCCTTTTTCCGCTTAAGGTAATCATTCTACCTACCTAGATGCTCCTACCCTACTTAGGCTTAAAACTTCATTCCCTGACTCATGTCGCATAAAAGCGCATCGATGGTCTGTGCCTACCGTCCTCTTCGTCTCTGGTACAGGCTGTATAAAAAGGATTGACACGTAACAATGAGTTCATTTCATGATATACTAAACTTGTGATGGGTGCCCCCCCCCCCCTTTGACTATTATATTTTCGCCCAGGCCAGCACTTGTGACTGGTCATGGCGGTCCTGAAGCTCTTTGGCTTAAGACGCTTTCGTTTTTTTTTGTCGCAGAGAACGCCAGTCATCGAGCGTCATTTAGACCAGACCACTCACACGTGAATTAACTTCAGAGGCCAGATTGCCGTAAGACACGATTACGGACGCTGTATAGCTGAAGACGCAGAAGCTCAGCTCTGTCAATCTTGCTAGAGTCTCCTCCATTTGAATCCACGCTCATGCACAGCATCTGCTTTACATTCTTCCTAAGTTCCAACAATGCCAGATGGTCCGATAAAGTTTGCTCTTCATAGTTCACTTTATTCTTGCCTTCATACGAGAGCATTACGTCGTCGATATAAAGGAATGTCCATGGCGTTGGCTTTTGAGCATCTCCTGTAATGGCTATTACACTACAAGAGACCCTCGCAAGCAGAATTCCATTACTACGATCAACTAATCTCTTTAAATTCATTTTCGAAATTTCATTACTTGCAGCCGAATTTAGTAAAATTGCAGTACTCGTCTTTGCTTTACTAAAAATCGTAAGAGTTGGTTTCCTGACTCTTCCCCCCTGGCTTTTAAATTTTCTCTTCGCGGCTCGTGCAGTGTAATCCGAATGTAATCCGATAAGCATTGTAGAAGGACCTAAACCCATGGGCTGCTTTCATAGTCCGCCGGCTGACGTGCCGGCGGAGGCAGTGCTAGGGGGGGAGGAGGGAGGCAGACAGTGTAAGGCAAACAGTCCACGCCCCTTCGACGGTTGTTTGTTTTCAACCCCTCGAAGGGGACTGTTTGCCTATCTGTCTGCCTCCCTCCTCCCCGCTAGCACTGCCTCCGCCGGCACGCCGGCCGGCCGGCNAATTTTCTCTTCGCGGCTCGTGCAGTGTAATCCGAATGTAATCCGATAAGCATTGTAGAAGGACCTAAACCCATGGGCTGCTTTCATAGTCCGCCGGCACGCCGGCCGGCCGGCCGGCGGACTATGAAAGCGCCCATACGATTCTAGAATGCGGTTCTAAAAACCGTTCTGTGGAAAATTTAGTGTTTTCTCAGAGTACACCACGACGTAAATATGTATGTTTTCCAGCATCTAATCATTCACAGTGGGCGATATATCGAACGTTATAGACCTAATTTGTAGGCTCTGTTCAACACTGTCGAATGAATGTAAAATGATTTATGGGATTTGACAACGACTTTCGCTCCTTTCGTTTGCGTCCACTGAAGTCCCTAAGTTTGAATGCCCGACTTTCTCCAAAGTACAGGGTAGCTACTAGCCAGAGCTATTTTGAACACATTTTTGATTTGTTTTTGGTTCCATTGGACACATTTTTGGATGTTGAAGTCGAATTCTCTGGAGGCTTTTTAGTAATAAATTGAATAAATGAATTGATAAAACACTTATTAAAATAAATAGTAATAATAAATAATAGATAATGTAATAAATAACAAAGTAAATGAATAAAAGAAAATGGAAGTGAAATCCCCGTTTCAATAGGATTTTTTGGTTGAAAAATGAACAAACACGAAGTGTTTCGTCGTCATCCTCTATACAATGGTATGTCTGGCACCTGCCGTTTGATGAGTGTCTTTCTTTCACTTAAGGGTTTCGGTGCATATCCCACTTCGCCTCTGTCGCCAGTTGATTTAGGGCTGTATGTCAAAATTTCAGGTTTATTGCATACAAGCACGTCAACATACTGAAGTATCTATTTAGAAAAATATGAGTATTTTTAGCGGAATAGAAAGGTGAAAATCGACGGTCTTTAGAAAAAGTAAGGGTTCGCAAAAGTAGTAGAAGAAAGGGCATTGCACGAAATTGTGACAACAAAAACGACACTGGAAGGGTGTCTGGCCGATATCTTAGTTGCCGTAGAGCGTAAAGAGCTGGCTATGGAAGCCAAAAATGGCAAAAATAGCCTTCCACTGAGCGCATTCTTCGTACCAACCGCACAGTTTACAGTATAACAAGAAAAGAAGACATATGGTTGGCTCCGCGTAAATGAGTCATTGCCTATAACCTTCTGGGTGCTCCCCCTTAGGCGTACTACCACCTACAGACGTGCAACCACCTAGATCTTTACTAATTCTAGGACCAGCTCGTCCACTATTCACTTCGAGTTAGAAATTCCGACTGACGCGAACTTGGATTTGTCAAAGAATTCCCCTCTTATTTATGAGTAAGATAACGTTTTGATGCAAATCGACCTCTATTTTGGGAAGTATTCCAGCTGCTAGACTTTAACTTAAACCAAAGTTGCGTTTGGCTGAGTATTCAATCACCATGAGGACCTCTAGGGAGCCGGCCACTGTGTAAATCATTCGTCTGACTAATCCAACAGTGCTTTTTTTCAGTTGTAGTAGTGTCTTGATTTTTTTGTTCAGATCGTTGACCATGTATTTCAGACTGTTCTCTGAGTATCCTCAGTACAAAGGGATCTGGCCGGCATTTCGTCAAATTCCCGACAGCGCACTCATTTCCTCAGATCAACTACGAAGGCATGCTTCAGTATACATGGCTGGTCTCAAGGTAGGTTGTTTAAGAATGCATAGCAGTACTTGGGGATTGAAAGTGGTGCTTTACGAGGTGGCACACTACCATACTGAGGGTTCTGACAGCATTTCCCGATCTGGTACACAACCAAGCAAACCAAGCCCTCCATTCTTCCGGGTTCGAGTGAACGGTGCCACATTCGTTTGGTAGGATACTGGTTCTAACTACCATCTGAATTACCTGCTATCCCGTTGGTCATCAATATCATAGAGCAGTAGTGAAGTTTCCATTCTCCCCTGTCGCAAGCGATGTTCTTTAGTGGATCTTTCGAGGGTCGCGAGGCATAGAATATCTATTGCTCAGAGCTTCTGTAAGAAGTATGAGCATCCCACTGGAGGCTGTATCAGAGTTTGTTTGATGTTTCGAAGGATCCAGTCAGTAACTGCCGTGGTCCAACGGTAGCCACAGTATTGGAGGGCGTGTCTGGACCAACTGATCTCCACTTTCCCGGCGCAAGCAACTGCACGTCATGCGTACACTGATCTTTGTTAGTTGACGGAACTTAGATTTCCGGATTAACTCTTCACATGCGTGTCCGGAAATTCCGAGCATCATCTCACCTACTGAAGGTGGTGGATTCCTCGGAATTTGCGTCGCGCTTACTGCATCCTTTCGCGCCCAGTCGCTATGAAAAGGAAGGTTCAAATACCCAGTAGACGAATACGGTATTGCCGTAGAAATTAAGAGAGTACTGCCACACTTGGTGGATAAACAGCGAAGATGTTGGAGCTGAGGTAGAGTCACATCTTCCTAATCGCTACCGCGTTGTCGAGCTTTTGTACGAAGTTGTTCGTGGTCAAGTGCGTAAAGACGAGGGCACCTATGCCTCTGCTCTCGCATGTTCCGAAGAACAGTTCTTCCCCAGTCTTGAAAACGGCGTGCAGAGGGGATGCGTTCTTATTCCTTCGAGTCCAATGACGTTGTGCTTGATCCTCTTGTATTCCACCACCAGAACTTCTATACACACCTCCAATGCAAGCCCTCATACGTTGGAAGTGCAGATTGCCATCTTGGTCCTTCCCCGCAGCCTCTCCTGATCCTACAAGCGGATCGCAGAGTAGACAAGAGTCTGAGGTAATGAAGGCGGCCCGGGAAAAATCGGCTATACGCTAGTGTCCTCCACGTCTGAGTCTTCCAAATTGCCCTTATTGTTGTTTTGCTCATACCTATTTGCAGAGGATAAAAAATAAAGTCTTGGGACGGTAATCAATCCCATCTGAGGGACGCGTCCACGCACTCGACTTCCATTCAGAATCGTAGTGGCATATTGAATGCGTATGTGACCTATATAATGACTTGTAGTGGCCAGATGCTGTTCAAGTCAGTGCTTTCATCCTGCAGACGGGTCTGGTGCCAATTTGTAATGGCCGGTAATGACTATGGAAGAATATAAGCCATCAATTCCTTTGAAATCATTTTTTTAATATTCCAATACTGAATTGATGATTTGTTGGTTATTGTTCCCACCCCAGAAGTCGGTTTATGGTAACACACTTAACTGACCTGAGAGGATGAAAGCACTGACTTGTACATCGGCTGGCCCCCGTTAGTCATTGTATAGGCCATATACGCATTCATTACACCCTATGTACGATTCTGAATGGGAGTCGAATGGAGAGGTGCATCCCTCAGACGGGATTGATCAAGGCCCCAAGACTTTATCCATTTAAACTTGATCTGTGATATAATAGTAATTTTTTGAAGAGAATCGTTGATGTCATGGATGATAATGAGAAGCTAATTGATGCGACACGGCGAATTGCAGCTAGCCACTGTAAATGGAGTATTTGTAAGTTTCATATCGAGGTAAGTATGTGGATAGAGTAGACAGGCAGCAGGTAAAGGAGTTTTGTTTGAAGCATATGGTACCAGGACTGCTGGAAGTGCTGAATATTTGTATGAACCGACAGTTAACTCCTGAAATATCTCATGC